TCTTTCTAAACACGGGACAGTTCAATACCAACAAAGAATGAAAACCAAAGGGTTGCAACCCACCTGATGATGGTGTCCTCATCAACCAAAAATAACACTTCTGTACATGTATTTGGGAGTAGTAAAGCACTTCCAGGGGGCTCCAAAACTGATGTTCATTTTGACAATTAGTGTCTAGACCTTTTAGAGCCGAACTGGCCAATAAAAACATTCCTTTCCTCAAGGCACTCAATTCACCTTTATTTTACATAGATGCTTTCCCTCACGTTTGAACTTACAATTGACTAGAACACAAAAAAATAAGGTTATCTGTGCTTAACTGCAAATTAAATTTGGAGTATTTCATTATTTCCTTTGATTTGAAAGCATGAATGGCTTAAACTCAGCGCTCAACAGCGTTAAGCAAGATTTTATGCATACGTAGAATATCAGCTGCTATGCAGCACCATAAGAAGCTGGAAACAAAAAGCACGGTGTATATCAGTACAACACATTCTATGAAAATCACAGTAACTTGTCCTTCTTAGAACACGTAGAAATGATAAATGCTTGCACATGGAGTTCCACGCTGCAAAAGCGAGGTTTTCACCCAAAGTGTAAGCCTGCAAAGGTCAGCATACCCCTAAAGTTAAACCCAAAATGGTTTTAGCATCTTCCATCAGCACACACAACCTGCTCCTATTAGCAAAACAAACGCTCGGTTTACTTCTGCTTTCCAATTTGTGGTTTAGGGTTTACCAACTGATGTCTTAAAATATCAAATGTCACGATACTGTTCCTGTGCAGTGCGTAGAAGAAGGGAAGGAACAGGCTTCCTTTCAGAACATAACCCTTCTACACTTTACTCCTGCAAAACGTCAGCAACTCCTAGAGGAGCGAAGCACAACCAAGTTGAGAATACTAAGTTGGCACATCACATTACCTGGTTACAGCCATCTGCCTCGATTCTTCCCACCCACTTTTACAGGGACAGCACTGTGATGTCAAACCAGCTCATCTTGTTGTGTTGTTGTTGGGTTTTGTTTTTTTTTTTTTTAAATGATTGTGTGTAAATTGACTGGCTCCTCAGATTTGCTCACTATACTGACACAAGATCACAAGAGGTTTTGAACGCAAACAGGTGCCTTCCAGAAAAAGGGCTTTTGTCATGCACTGCAGCTTCTACCAGATTACAAATGTTCTGCTGAATAAAACATTTCTTAACGCCATTACATCTCTTAGCACATTTAAGTATTACCCAAGAGAGAGGAGCTACCCACATGACTAGTGCCAAAGAGTAACAGCCAAACAAGACCAGATCGAAATATTCAGTTTTTAATACTGCCATACTTATACTGGTTTCAGACAAGGCTTTACAACATCAGTGGCTACTTCAGTCGTCTGTCCCTTTTTTGGTTGCTGCCTGTAAGTACGACCACTGGAATGAAAAGTAGAATGCCATGCAGCCTCGTCTGAAATGCATCCATACTCCCTGATTGCTTTGGGGAAATCAAGTTTACTTCTCACTTCTTCTCTCTTCATTTTTAAATAATTAAAAATGGGATTAATAATAATAAAGTCAAATAGCCGAATGCATTTTTGGTTACCAGCTAACCCAAAGAAGTGCTTTTTCTTCCTCCAATATAGTCTGTGAGATGGTTCTGATGAAATTTTACCTTTCATTCCAGTCTAAGTAGAACATGTTAAAACATCAACAATTATTATATTTTCACTTAGAAATACAAACCAGTGCAAAAAGAAGTTCAGCTTCAGCTCTACCACATTCATTTTAAAAAATAACAAGAAAACCACAGAACCACCTGCTCGTCACATCACTAGACTCTACAAATCAATTGTACAAATGAAGCACCAACACTAAAACCTTGATTTGAAGCATATCCAGTTACCCTGCTGAGCCCCAGGCACCACCCAAACGAAAGCAAAGCAGCCCTACGAGAGAATTTAGAAGACTCACTAACATTCACTGCAGTTTTTCTCCATAACTTCACCAAGAGCAGCTGTGTTGAAGTATCTGGTGGCTTCCTAACAAAATGGCAGATTCTATATGCTGTTGCCACAAAGAACAAGTTACTTGAACGGGCACACAGACAGCAGACCTGCAATGTAACAGACCTGTGAAACCAAGGTTTGTTATCACCGACTGGGGAAAAAAGGGATTTCCAATTAATCTTTAAAAATAAGAGAACCAGAACAGTAAAAGTGCAAATTGGTGACAGCTGGTCAAGAAGTTCCCAGAACTGAAGGCAGCAGACGAAGTCAGGAAAGGAAACAATGCAGGACATAACAGAAGTCACCGAACTTAGTGGTCTGTATCTTTGTGCAGAAACAGGTTCTTCAGTGCAACTCACACAGACACTGCCCAGGCTGCAGAGACTTGTGCAGAATATAGCCCCGCTTCCCTCTCCCTTCCTTTCTCCTAAAACTGCATCTTGATCTCAGAGCTGCAGCTGACACCACAAGTTACTTTTATTTTCCCCCAAAATCTGCAGCTGAAAACCACCAGCCTGTTCCAGCAAATGAACTGCTGTGCACATCAGCTCCAGGGAGCCAACAACAGGTGCCAACGGTTATTGGAAAGTTACTGCTGTACCCAGAACTCACAAACGTGACATTAAAATAGGACCCCTTTTAAGAGGGGGAAAGATACGCATGGCATTAAGTCACACATCCGAGTAAATCTCATTTTTCCACCTGCAGGATCGTTTCCTTTCTTTTTTTAGCTTTCAAATGATCACCAGCTTTAATACTGCATCCAACTATTTCAAACTAAAAACTGCAGTCCCTGCGAAACATATGTCTGTGCACTAGCTTCAAAGTGCTCCTTTTCACCCTTCCTAAGAACCGAAGCCATATTTAACTGAAATTTCAGACTTTTTATCTCCCTTCACAGATGGTAACCTGGATTTGCCCCAACACTCGCATGCTAAAACTAATAGGGCGTGAAGTTACAATTTTCCATATATACATGTGAAAAGTATGTGTTGCAGAGGAACAGTTTCCTACTGAAATCACTTTCCCATCTTTTCTTCTGGTACAGCCTCTTGAAACATCAGCAGGGTAAAATATGGCTTCGAAAAAATACAGCTTTTCTGTGTCCCAGCACAAGCATAGAATTACAGAGAGCAGGAGCCAAAGCACTCTCACTTAAAATTCGCTCACATTTGTCAACCTCAGTTTTGCTTAAAGATGGGTATTACTTTTACACCTTTAAAATGAACCTTTAGCCTACAACTAATCAGGCACCACAGGCAAGCAACTTCAAATCCGGCTTTCTCTTATACAGGAGTGTACAAGCAGAAATCAGCTGGCAACGATGTGCAACTTATGACCTTCGAGCCTCCAGTGCATCCAGATGCTAAATCAAGTCCTGCTGATGTGAGCCTGCCATATGCTCACTCAACTCATACACTGCATCCCTAAAAAGCAGATCCCTGTTTCAAGTGAAAATAAATTACTTTGTGAGGACAGAGTGCCACTTGACGAAAAGTATAGTCAGTTTTTCCCTCAAAGGTTCTGATGTTATTCTAATATGGAACGAGAAATACATTGAAAGGACAGTTATGTGGGAAAAAAGCTAATGCCTTCAGGAATTCATTTATGGTATCATTTTTGGACAGCAAACTTGCTTACACTTTCTTCCATAATTAATAAGACTGTACATTATTTGGAGCTTGAGTGGGAAATTAACTCAAGCTTGAGCAAAATGGAGTTTTCCCAACTGCTACAGAGTGGTACAGCAGCATCCACTGAGCACACGCACGCACACACACACACAGAGGACGAGGCAAAAATGCAGCCCATGTCCAATCCACCAGGGAAGCACAACCCTCCCATGTCCCATCAGGTCACGGTCTGCAGATCTGATCCTGCACCCTCTGGATTAGTGGGATTTTTGCCATTGGGAACCTGTGAATGGACTATTCCTCTGTGTTGAAGAGTCCCTTTTCACCAATTCCCTGGAATATAAAAAACTGTCCACAAAAGCAACAGTTCTTTTTCAAAAAGCGATCGTTAATCACTAACAGATGCAAAACAGCGTGGTTACACTTGGTTCCACGCTCATGAATCCTCAGATCAATGTTTAGCTTGTTTCAAAAATACTGAAAATCGCAAAGGGCCGTTTCAATTTCAATCACACCTAACAGGCTTTAGGAAAACAACAATTAAAAAAATTTTTTTTTTAAAGAGAGAGAAGGAAAAAAAAAAAACAAATCCAACATTTCGTACCAATTACACAGATCCCGTGGAGCTGTGCCGGTGCCAATGGGAAAGGGCTCAGCTCAGAGGCTCCTGGCATCACCCGCACCTCCTACGTGACCCGACAGCGGCCCGGCAGCACCCCGTGCCCCAGCCTGGCCGCTGCCCTGTCACCGAATCTGCCCTCTCAGCACAAACGCTCCATTTTCCTGCGAACTTAAATGTCAGCTCCTCTCAAACATTCACTTCTGAGCAACGGCGGGCAGACAGGAAAAGAAAAAAAGGCACACGCTTCGTGCAATCTCCTTCCCCCCTCCCCCCCTTCGGTTCCCCCCCTCCCGATCTACAGAGCTCCGCTCCCAAGGGCAAAGGCTCCCGGCGGCGGGGAAGGGCTCCGCGCAGGGCATCCCGGCGGCGGCACCCATGGCCGAGAGCGACATTCCGCCGCTCCTCGAACAGCCTCGGTCCCCGAGCCGCACCGGCGGCGGCGGCCGGCGAGTGTTTACGTTTAAAATACATCTACACGGAGCTCGGATCCAAAGGGAAGAAGGGGAAAAAACTCCGCCCCCCTCTCGCTCCCGATTCTCTCGGAAAAGCGATCGAAGCGAAGCAGAAACACCCGAGAGAAAAATAATAATAATGATAAAGAAAGAAAGAAGAAAAGAAAAGCGGGGTCGGGAAGGCGGCGGCGGGACGCTGCCGGGCGGAGGGCGCACCGTCCGGGCCCGGCGGGAGGAACCGCGCGGCGGAGGCCGGGCCGGGCGGGGGGAGCGGGAGAGCCGCGAGGGAGAGGGGACACTCACGTAGCGCTTCAACTTCTTCTCCGGTGGGGACTTTCGGAGCCAGCCCGAGCAGACCACCTCCCCGCCGCTCATGGCTGGGCCGCCCGCTTCGTCCTCCTCCTCCTTCTCCTGCTCCTGCTCCTCCGGCGGCGGCGGCCGGGCCGGGCCGAGGGAGCCCCGAGACGCGGTGGCAGCACCGCGCCCGCTTCGGCCTCCTGGGGCTGCGGGGCGAGGGAAGGGGCGGGAGGAGGGATGGGCGCGGGCTGTGTGTGTCTGTGTCTCACGCACAACGAGCGGCCGGAGCGGAGGGCGAGCGGGGCCGGGGCGGGAGGCTCCCTTTCCTCCTTCTTCTCCTCCTCCTCCTCCTCCTCCTCCCGCAGCCGCCGTCTCACACACGCATCGGGAGAGCCGATTGGGGCGGCCGCCGCCCCTCCGCCGCAACTCGAGCTCCGGCGTCCCGGGGCAGGCTGCGGCCGTCGCTCCGCCTGGCTGGCACCGCCCCGCACCCCAGGACCCTCCCGCCCCTCGGCCCCGCTGCCTGGCGGGACGCTGCCTTCTTTCTCCTTCTCCTCCCCCTGCGCCGGGAGGAGGGGGGAACGGCCCCTCAGCCGCCTCCTTCGGCGGGGCGGGAGCCACCGCCTCTCGCCCGTGCCCCGCCGCGGGGCCGCCTTTTCTCCGTCCCGGAGGGATCCGTCCCGCTCCTCGCGGCCCCCACCCCTCAGCGCTGCCGGCACCTCCCCGCTCCGCCCGCCCCCGGGCGTCCCGAGCCGCGGCTGCCCCGAAACTCGGCCGGAGCCTCTCGCACAACGAGGGCCGGGCGGGGCGGGGCGGGCACGCGTTTCCAGGGGCTGCTGGGAGCTGTAGTCGGCAGGGAGGGAGCGGCCGAAGGGGAATGCGGCGGCGCGGTGGGACGGGCGCTGGCGGCGGCCGTGCGCTGAGGTGGGGGGCCGGGGTGAAGAAGACGGGAAAGAAGCGCAGCTCGCTTTTCCTACCCCACCTTGAGTCGCTTTTAGGTCTGTTTTGGGGCGTGGGGGAGCGCTCAGGGGCGCGAGGAAGGCTCTGTGAGAGAGCGGCGATCTGAATAACAAAGCTGCGGCCGGCGCGGTGGTTAGCCCTGTGAAACGCACCGCAACACATCTCATTACAGATAAAAAGAGAAGAAAGCTATACAAACTGCATTAAAAACACCTCGGCGAAAGTAAGCTCCTCTCAGCAAGTCTGAAGTTGCCTCGAAGAAAAAAAAAAAAAAAAGAAAGAAAGAAAGAAAAAAAGCCGCAGTTGAAGTTGGGCTGTGAGCGCGGAGAAGCCGGCACCCGAAGCCTTGCCGAGCCAGGCGCTGCTGCCGCCGCCGGCTCCGCGCCCCGAGTGTGCGGGCTGTGCGCCTGCTGGGCTCCCCTTCGGCGGCCGTGCGACTCGTCACCGGCGGGGGAAGCGAGGAGGCTGATGTGTAAGGCGATCCCAAATGCCGTTCAGTTAAAAGACGAAACTCATGCAATAACTCGTTTCTAAAAATGCTCTCCGGCAAAGAAATAAAAAAAAAATAAAAAAAAATCTACAAAAATCTGGTGGTTTGTTTTGTTTTCCCGTATGATTTAATGGCAGGCTTTTGGGATGGTCCCGCTGCCTGCTAGCAGCAGCGCTCTTCCACCGCAGACGACTAGTCCCCCTAGTGTGCCTTCACTGCAGGAAGCGCGCTGCTGCTTGCTGGGATCCATCAAGGTGCTTTGTATTAGATTGCCAGGCAGTGTCTGTATCATTTTACCGTGGTCGTTTGCAGAAATAACAGGAAAATGAGAGAGGTGAAAGCCTGGAGCCATTTAAAACCCTTACAAATGTTCACCGTAATTATTTTATTTTATTCTTGCAGTGTTAAAACTGGCCAAGCGCTATTAAGTACGAAAAGAAGGTGGTAAAAGAGCACAAGAATTCTGCTAAAAAAATAAATAAAAATTGGAATAGTTGAATGTTGTCCTTCGTCAACATTAAAAGTGTGCGCACCCGAGCATCCAGGAGGTCCTCACTGACATCTCTGCACACCAACCATGCAACTGCATCAGTGGGCTCCAGGAAGCATAAAAGAAGTGTTGTGATGTGTGGAGCTGGTGAAGATGGACTGAAGTGCTTAAACCTGCAGTGCTAGCTTTAGGTTTTAAGCTGACTGTTGCTGTAACTCTTTTGTTCAAGCTGCTACTGCAATTTTTTAAGAATTTCCACATTATCTCCAAATGTCAGATAAGACCACAATATTTTCCACTGTTCTCTAGAAACCTGGAGGCAATTCAGTATTATCAGAGCACAGATATGTAGAATCTGTGTGAATAAAAATTCCATCATCGTCAGGATGTTATAGCATGATCCAATCATCCATTAAAACCCCGCTAATTAGCCCTAATCTCAAGGGCTAATCAAATAAAGACAGTCTTTTGGCTTAAACAGACTCTACGGAAGCACCAACATAACAAGTCACCTATTGGCCAATTTCAAAACATTTGCATGTTCATGCATTGAAATACACTGAGACCAGTGTTGCCCTGGAGTCCAGCAAAAGTTGCAGAGACCTCCATCAAGAGTGGAAGTTTTGGCTAGTTTTCTTGCTGCAATTTGGCTTTGAGACTTAAAACAAGGCCGAGCACAGCCTGTTTGGACACTGTCCGGATCTCATGCAGGGAGGCATGAGCTCAGCTGATCGCAGCGTGCTGGGGAAGCTAACATGGAGTCAGCGTGTCATGCTGCCCTTGGGCTGACTGGCTGCTGTGGCAGCGTGTCAGGATGCGGCTGCCCTCTCCTCTTGGTCCCTGCAGCTTATAACCATACAAGGGTGCTGTTATTGAGGAAGATTGCAGCATAAAGATCCATTCAGCTCAATTAATTGCACTGTGGAGCTCTTTTGTGTCTTTGTTCAAGGACTATCCTGGAGGGAAAAGGATTTACTTTGCCTTGCTAGCTTGTCAGCGATGGCCCAAAAAGCTGAAGAGGTTTGATGTGCACACTGTCATCAGTCCTGCTCTTCATGTTTTCCGAAGTCTTCGTTCTGAGGAACTGATGCCTTTCTTTTTTCCCGTGCAAGTTTCCCTTGATTTACACTGCCTGTTTTTTTTACTAGCAGTAAGGAAACTATGCACTGCCACCAGTTACGTTGCAGAAGCTTTCCCCATTTCTAGAAAAGAAGCTTATAATTGGCATTTACGTGTAGCCAAAGAGCAGACGTGCCCAGCTGAGCTGTGAAGGAAGGGAGCTCAGCTGGAATTCCCACTGGCTATAATGCCAGCATAACTCCAGGCCCAGCTTCTACACATTTGCGTGTGTTGCTATTTATGAATCCCTGTTGTCGTCCAACTCAGCATCCATTTTATGATCAGACACCGCCACGAGTTGCACTGTGTGGAACTCTGAACAAAACACTGCACTGACAAAGTGACACTGTGCCCTGCTGTGCGACTGCTCTTGCCCCAGCACAGCTCATTGCCTTGGACATCAGGCGCCTCTGACTGGAGTTGTCTCAATTGCCTTCCTTCTATGAAAGATACTTTCCTCCCTCTGCTGACTTTGTGTTCATTTGTGAGTGCCTTCTGAAGTGTTTTAAATGGCTTCTCCAAAATTTCAGAGCAGACTGTTTATATAGCTCACCACATAAAGTAGGTCATGTGTAAATCAATTTGCTCCTGGTTTCCCTGCCAAGCCCTCTTGACAAAGGAAACAGGAGCTGATAGATGAGGAGATTAAATTCGTATGGATTTGTTTCTAAAAATATAAACGATACTGATTTCTCATGCAAATGGCTTAGGAATTCTTGACTTGCATAATAAGACCCTGCTTGCTACACACCTTGATTTTGTGTTGTATAGTGTGAAAAACTACACATGCCTCCAGGAGTTTCACACTGCTGCCTCATTCAGCTGTGGCTCCTCCTAATGATGGCTGAGCTCTTCTGTGCCCTTTGCATAAATAAAGCTTGCACTTCGTCGTGCCACAGGAAACTTAAAATTCTAATGAAGAAAAAAATATATTTCATATTTCAGACTGTACTGCAAAACATGACTGGATATTTATGCAACAGTGAATCGGTGCTAAAATTTTTCAAGCTTGAAAAAAGATCTCCAGCAGACATTTGTTTTCTTTTTCAGACATCTCCCTTAAGTTCAGAAATATTCAAATTCAGATATTCAATAAATTCAATCTGCAGAGTTCTTTTGTCACTGGATGACATCATCCAGTATTTATTAATTTCAGACTGTAGTTCTTTAGGTTATTTGGTAAATAAATTTAGGAAAGAGTAATACAAACCAGATATAATTAAATGAGATCGGTATCTGTACATTTCAGAATTGTTTACAAGTCATTAAACTACCTCTTGTCTGATTTCTCTTATTCCTTTCAATATTGATGCAGGTAAATAAAGAAAAGTATATACTGCAAAACTCACTTAAAAAAAAAAAAAAAGAGCAGTTTTCAATTCTTCCTTGGTGTAATAGACTGAAAATTCCCTTGTGATTTGTTCAGAAAGTTCTCCTTCCTGCTCCTGGAATGGAAATTCACTGATAAATGTTTGTCCTTAGTTTTTTGCAGTGGGATCAAATGACTATCATGCTTCATGCAAGGGAGTAAGAAAGAAGGAGCAGACAAGCTGGTTGGCTAGCCATGCAGAAACGTCCTCCGACCTGTACAGTTTGAAAAATCAATCAGCAGTATTTTCCCTCCATAAGGACAATACCTTTGCACCTATCATAGAGTGCTGAAAACAAGTTGTTCCTGCTTTCAAGAGGCATTCTCTTAACACAGGAAGGATTTTGCACAGTTCTGCCAAGGATGAAAACTTAACAAGACAAGTTTGATTCGATCCTGTAATAGGAATATGTATTACTTACTACAGAGATGACTTTTCAGGATAAACTGTAAAGCATGGTCATACACGAGACCAGACTATGGTGTGCATAGCCAAGAATTCACCACCCAAACCACAAGACACACAGTGAAAGATGTACTGAATTCTTCCCCTCCAAAAAATTATTGCAGTGTAGAGAGTAGGGGGGAACTAGTTAAAGGTGGAGAGACAGCAAATAAGAAGATATTTCAGGATGGAGGTTTCTGTGACAACATAAAAGAAATATCCCCAAAAAGCACCTACCATCACAAAGCAGAAATGACAGCTAGAAAGTACCTTTCTAACAAGTTCTCAGACTGCAGAATCACGCACTGGAACCCAAACTCACATTATTTTGGAGCTGCTGCTTTGCAGAGAACTTAGCACCACTATGAATTACCTTATCTGCAGACTTAAGGATATCTCCTTCGTTCTGATCGTTCTCATCAGTAGCTCTTCAGACAGCCCCGTTTAACCTTTTATGTCTCACTGGAAGAAAAAGAAATGCCTGCCTTCCACCCTAATACTTCCAACCCGAGTAAGGGCAGTTTCAGGGTTGGTTCTGGCAATCGCCTACAGCATCAGCCAAAGAGGAGCCCTATTGTATTTAGCCAACTAGCAGTGCAAGTCATCTAGGCTGGATTTCATCTCACTGTAGTCATCTACAGTGAAGTCGTTTGCATACGAGTTACTCATCTACACATCCTTTATAGTCAGTGGTGAGATATAACCAGATAGGATGCATTTTGTCTCTTCCAAAGGAAGATGTTAAGATGATTGGTTGAATTGCATTCTTGAAGTGCTTCTTTATCTCCACTGACAATAAGAAGAGTCAGAACAAGCAGCTTGGCAGGAGACAGACAGCTTTGCTAGTAAAATGTAAAGGTAGGTAAAATGAAACTTCAGCACCTAAGTCACGAAAGCAAATATATTCTCGGAGATGAATGCCAGTCCCAAATTATTATTATGGTTATTATTGCTGTTGTTATTCTATTACCATAATTCAGTGACTAAAATATTAGGAATCTAGTGTTTTTGAGAATTTTCAACATGCTTTATCAATGGCAGGAATAGGAGATGTACTGAACTTACTCATTAGATTAAAAAAATTTGGAAAACAGGATCAAGCACGTTTGCACTGAAGCCAGGACAACCCTTTCTAAGCAGAACAATCAGGAGAGAAATGTCTTTCAGATACTTGTAAAACCTTCAGCGGCTTAAATCTCTCACAGCCCACTTTGTAGAAGATATAAATGTTTCTATCACTGCTTTTACTTAATCAACCCCTACAACAGTATCTAAGGTCTCAGAGACAGGCTGAGAGAGCTGGGACTTTTCAGCCTGGAGAAGAGAAGGCTCCAGGGGGACCTTACAGAAGCTCTCCAAAATCCAAAGGAGGCCTACCGGAAAGCTGGGCTGGGACTTCTTAAGGTCATTTAGAGGCAGGACAAAGCAAAATGGCTGCTTTAAACTGGAAAAGGTTATACATGGACTAGATATTAGGAAAAAATTCTTTACAGTGAGGGTGATAAGACACAGGAACAGGCTGCCCAGTAAGGCTGTGAATGCCCCCTCCCTGGAAGCACTCAAGGCCAGGCTGTGTGGGGCTGCGAGGGAGGAGGCATCCCTGTCTACAGTAAGGGGATTGCAACTAAATGATCTTAAGGGTCCCTCTCAACCCAAACCGTTCTATGATTTAAATACACCCATGAGTGGAGCACGAAGGTATACTTCTTTTCTACCTTCCCAAACAGAGGAACACATATCTGTGCAAGATTTTTATTATTTTACTTAAAATTTAAGTATTTCTACACTGGACTCAGTCTTCACGACAAGTGATTTCTCCCTAAGTTTGAACTCTTTCAGGCTCAGTCTGCTGTGTTTTTTTCTGACTGTTACATTGTCAGTAGCACGTAGTACTGAAGTGAAGTGGATATTCTCAGCTAAGTGAGGCGTGTATCATATTGTCTGGGTTTGAATTACATCTTCTGTTGTCGTATCCCTCAAACCAGAAAGAAGAATTCAGGTTGAATCTGACAGGTAGTGGCACAGTCAAGGAAAGAGAAATGTGTAACCTGAGGGCTAGACAGCATCCGAAATGACATAAAAACATGAGAGAGAAATGCTACAGCAGGAGGGCAGTGGAGCCACAGCTCTCTTTCAGGATGTACAAAGTGACATCTAGAAAGAACAAGAGAAAGGGTGTATAATCAATGAACATACAGGTGTTATAATTAAGAAACACAAAAGAGAGTTCAGCTAAGCAGGTTATTATACCAAAAAGAATAGGTTGAGGGCTTACCCTTGTCCTGGGCTCACAGGAAAGCTCCAAAGCAGGGATCTCCAGAAAGAAAATCCCCCCGTCGTAGTCAGCTCTTAAATGGGTCTAGGAGAGGAGGAGCCAGGCTTCACCCCTTCCAGTAGCATTTGTGAATTGCCTTCACCTGTGCTCCCAGGGCTGACTCATTGCTCTCCTCAGGTGGTCGGTCAGTCAGAGGTTCAGGCTGTGATTCAGCCTGATGTAACTTTACAAATGACATTATTGGGTTCAAAATTTAGGGAGATTGTTCCTTTCCCTTATGTAATTCCTGGGACTTCAGGAGAGGGATCAGAGTTCTTCACAATGAAAAATAAGACGAGAATCCAAGGAACAGTGAGGAAAAGAGTTCAAGATGGGCATAGACTCATTCTTGCCAACACTGCAAAACTCAGATCAAATTTGAGGAGCTCAATCCAATTCAAGAATATTAAAAATTCTCTCTCTCATCTCCTTGGCACAAAATCATGCCTCTGACATTTTTTTCAGTGGAGTTTGAGTGTTAAGAGTCTTTGTCTCTTCTACAGCTCCCTGCAAAACTACCACAAACGCTGCACTCTCTTGCTTCTTCTAGGTGCAAACATGTTTTTTTAAATAAAGAAGGAGGAGAAGAAAAAGATATTTCCAAGTTATACGTGAATAGATAGAATGCTCTATTTGGATCTAAATAAAAAATTGCTTCACATTTTAAAGAATTCAATTTCACCATTTTTTCTGGAGCGTATATCTGATGCTCTTCTGCACGCTGTTCATGTATGCTATGGGCTTTCACAGATAGCTCTTCACGGTTTTCAAGATGCAAATCTTTAGTAAAGCATTTGGCATTTCAGGAGCAGAATACTTATTTTTGTGGAATTGCTGTTTGGTGCAGCTATTGTGGCATAATTTTGAATTGGTTGCGTCCACTGCTGAGTACTGAAGCTTATTCCAGAGCTCTGTGGCAGGCAGGCGGTCACAGGCATTCTTGTCATTCATATCTGTCACACAAATACAGCAGAAAAAAGGCACTCCACTGAGGCTGGTGCTAGGGCCGTGAGGCCATTGGTGTAGGCCTCAGATATTATTAAGGTGTTTAATCACATGCACTGGATATTCAACGAAGTATTCCATTGTTCTCACTTTTTCCTGGAAAAAAAATAGAGATTTTAAATTGTGAGTGTTAAAAGAAATTCAAAACATAACATTGCTAGGTACTGATTAACTTTTCCTCCGTCCCCTCTCCTCTCTCCCTCCCTCCTTCCTTTCCTCCTTGCTTCTTCCCTTCCTCCTTTTCTCCCTTCCTCCCTCCCTTTTTTTTTTTTTCCTCCCCTGAAAGTTGCACATACCTGAGTTGTCTTTAAGGATTCAAACATAATGTTTCTTAGATCACTTGAAGCCTTCCTGCAGGTATTCTTTTTCCTCTGGAAGCTGGTTGTTTCCTTTGTGTGGGGAAGAAATTAGTGACATAAACAAAACAGAGGAAAAAAAAAAAAAAAAAAGAAAAAAAAAACCAAAACCAAACATGAAACACAGAGAGAAGCAGAAACAGAAAATAAGCATTGGGTAATCTGTGGTTAACTCACTTCTTCAGAGAATGGAAGGGTGAGTTTTGATCCCTGCCTTTTCTGAAATGGAGGAGAACTTGAATCTGCCTACTCTTTCTATGTGAACAGCTGAACTGCAAAGTATTTTTCTTGGGCATACTGTTTTCTTATGCCTTTTTGTTGTTCAGAAGTTTTATTCTAGAATTAAGAAATATGTTTAATGCAAATCAATATGTTCCGAGCAAAAGGTATTTCTTGGAACTTTGTTGGGAAGTGAAGGCTGCTGCACAGTGATCAGCGTGGCACACCACGGCAGCTCAGGACTTGTCTGTAGGCTTCATCTTCATCCTCAGGAGCAGCAGCATTCAGTTTAGCAGGAGCGGCATGGTTTCCCATTATGGTGGGTGGGAAGGGGCTCTGTGTCTTTCCCCTGGGTGACACCTGTCCCTTCTCATTGGAGGGGTTGAAGCTCAAAGTGGAGATTAAGGGAAGCAGAACTCCAGCACACCGGATGGACTTTCACCTTGTCCACAAAACCTCGCTTATCCAGCATGGTAAGAAATGAAGCTGCTGCTTACTTGACCAGCCACACAATTCTAGCACTGAGTGTCAGAGGCAGTATATGACAGAGCACTCCTGATCCCCTCAAGAGCCAGTGTTTTGCAATAGATGTGAAATCAGTGTGGCATCTCAGCTCACTCCCTTGGGAAGAGCAAGACAGCGGTTTCAGACGCTGCTGCAGCGACCGAGGGTTGTCCTGAGCTTGGGAGGACAGAAGGAGGCTGGCAGGGCCAGGCACACAGGATTAGCCAAGACCTGATAAAAAAGGAGCCAGGCATACAGACGTGGAAGGAAGTGACCCGTGACCATAAGCAATGGCATTATTTGAGGCAACTGCTTGTGTGTAGCTAGGTCCCTCTCCAAAGGGTGTTCTGCCCCTCATCTTTTAACCTGTTGTGTAAACACAGAATATCAGCCTTCCCATGAGGATAACATCTCTGCTCAAATACAACAAACTTGATCTGGATGTTGTACCTATGTAATAGCATGCACAGATAGCAGGAAGATCTGAGTTTGCAATGCTTAGTTCCTAATCCTCAGCCTCACACATACAACAAACTAGAAATAATAAAGTGTTGTGACCTAACAGCAGGAATCTAGAGCATCTTTTCTGCTCTAGACATCTTTGGCAGTGAGAAAGGATAGGTAACACCACATAACAACAAAAACGAACAAACAACATAACTGAGCTGAAGCTGTCAAACTTTTGGATAGCTACAGGCATCAAGAGCATGAGATAATTTTCCTTTTTTTTTTTTTCCCCCAGCTTTATTTAGGCGAACACACAACTTCTGCTCCACAGCACCAATGCTCTTCAAGGAAACAAGCAGCTCTGGTGCGCCTTACTCAGCACTCACAGCACTGTTTCTCCGTGCTCAGTGGCACAAAGTGCACTGCAGCAGCCCCGTCAGTTGCAGGGGCAAGCTTTTTTCTCTTCCTGGCACAGCTGTTTTTGTGTTTACTGTAGCAAAAAATGAGGTACATAATGCCATTTGAAAAGTGCCCAACACACCTAATTGAGCAAAGCCAGATAGAGACACAGTGATAATAAGCTAAAGTCTAACTTGTTCAACGCATGTGCAGATTTGATAAAAGCCTATCTAGGACCCAACCAAAGGTTAAAAGTGGTTTGAAATCCCTCCGCACGATAAGGTGAGGAGAAGCAGCATAACCTCAGCTGTATTTTATGACCTCGATCACTTCTACGCCAGTTGGTGGTTATACATCTCCATCTCTATGCAGCAATCAGGCTTGCCACTGCAAAAGAGCAGAGTTATCCCCATGACATTTTGCTCAATAAAGATCTTGCTTTCAAGAGATTGTTCTGTTTTTGGTGTACAGTTACAGTCTTTCAATGTAACACATTTTTGGTTTACTTTGGTTCACTATAATATATGATATGCTCTACTTTCCTTTGAAAATGATCTGGCTTATACTCTGAAGTTTTCTGTCTGAAAACTGAAAGGAGATGTACCAACATTATACAGTTTGTGCTTTGTTACGCATCTACAGGGCTCCCATAGAACAGTTTTATGAAAAGTGAACTGATTCTGACTAGTAACGTCAAAATTGTTACCAAGGCTTATTTCCATTTGTCGCAACATCCTACAACCTGTAATAAGAACACAGCAACTTAAATACCTAACAAAAACAGTAGGGAAACACAAAGGAAACAGATTTAAGAGTCTATTGATATTAGTGGGCAGTGATTTTCCTCTGATACTATTCTGTAGCAAGCATCGCTGGCAAGTAAGGAATATGTAATGTAGTGTAAGACAAGTATGTGATGTCATTAGTCATTAAGAGGCAAAGAGTGAACACCAAAAATGATAAAGATGCTGGGAATTAAGCAAAGCTGTATGCAGAATTCACTGCCCAAGTTTGTTTTGGTTTTTTTTGGTCTTAGATTGAAAGTTTCTTGAAGCAGAGGTTGCCTTGACGCCCTGTGCTGAGATTGAATTCCTAGACTTGTCTGGCAGTGAAGCCTTTCATTCTTCCCTTGTCAAGGGGACAAAATGGGCATGAGATCGAGAGCAGAGTCCTGGGGGCTGTACTTGCTGCATCTCCTAGCAGGCACAGGGCTGGGGCTAGTGATGGAGGCTCTTCTGCTTTGCACCCTTTCTGACTCCCAGCAGGAATTTAGTATGACGGCAGCACTCATTATGGAGTTACCAAGATCTGGTAGAGAGAAAATATGCAACAAGTCCTTGTCTGTTTCACATCCAGATCAACCTCTTGCCATAAGCAACTGCCAAGTTTTCCTGTGCCTGCTCCCACTCTGCTTATGTTTGACCAGCACGGTAAAGACATGGTTCTCTCTGCTTACAGCATGCAAACAGGAATCAATAGAAATACGTCCTCTGATTTCAGAGTGCTTAGAACAGTAAAGTTAGGGGGGAAAAAACTTCAGCCAACATGTAAAGTTAAGATAGAGTGCTTCAAGTAGGAATTGCGGAGCTTAGAGGTGTTGGATCCTGTTTTTGACCTTTTAAAACCCAGTTAAAGATTTAGTATAGCACAGGTACACATTGCTCTGTTCCACTTCTTCCAACAGGCAGAATTCTAAGAGAATTCTAAGCTGAGAGATATGGAGAGAGCAGAATGGACTTAGCAGGACTGGGGACTGCAGTATGTGCACAGCAAACAATACGCACACAGGCCCATTTGTAACAGTGGCAGAGGCGAGCTTGCGCCAGCTCCATATTTGCATAAGCAACTGGAGGAGAGGTGCTTACAAGTACACATTTATTTTCTGTAACACAATGTGTAAAACCTAAAAGTAAGTGAACGTGATGTGGGTGAAACACAAAAGAGTTCATACCATAAATCTCCTCTTACATGACCATACATATGTACTGCTGTTTCCACAAAGCCTCTGCCAAAATCCCAGCAAAAGCAAAACCCAACATCCTGCAACTTGCTGAATACGTTGGGAATTGAAGTAATTGTGCAGAGTACCACACTGAGTGAGGAAAGCATGTGACATGTTCTTCAAAGCTACAGAAAAACCAAGTGTAAACTTAAATAAGAGATCATATCATGATGCAAATTTAGCATTTGTTCTAAACAAGCTGTAACTCAGCATTTTAGAAGTGTGATTTCCTAAGTTTCTCTGAGGGAAGAGCAGAGCGAGCAACTAGCTGTGTTTGCTGTTTTCCTGTCAAAGTGCCTAGGCAGCACCAGAGATGGGGAAGTGAAATTACTTGGAATAGAGGAATTATACATGAGAAAAATTGTAGAGTGCTGTCAAAATATCACGGATTGCTGTCATTTATTTAGACTCCAAGCTGCTGCTGGGCCTACCTGAGGTCTATTTTGAGGCAGCATCGCTGTGGCGGCATTAGCCTCATATGAGTGCTTTTTATGGGGATGCATTTCATCCCAGTTGCATAACTGTCAACAGCTGAAGTCCATAATAAACACAGTATACGACAGTTGTTAAGTGGACCTTTCTCAGTTGCTGCAGCACAGCCAGCATGTAAAAGGTAGAAAGCGCAGGAACTGAGCAACACTTCAGTCTCTGTGTCTTTTCTGTGTGAGCTGAAAATGTCATTCACTTCAAGGCAGCCCATATACGCTGACAGGAATTCAGTTTAAACACAAGATGCCATTGGTAAGAGGCCACAGACACAAACACAGGCTCACACCAAGCTGTGATCTAGCTTTTTGGTATTTGCGACCTTCAGCTCCAGAAACATGGGCTTGGTAAGATAAGAAGAGCAGCTCTCCTCGCTTACCCAGAGAATAGGGAACTGATAAACGCTGGAGTAGTTTGGCATTCCTTTCTGCAGAGCACAGGGGTATGCATACATGTGATATAATTACAGTGCAACTTCTTATGGCAGTAGTTTGCATACCCTGTCATCCACCAGAGCAGACCTCCAACATCAGGAAAGCCCTTATCTCACAGGAATCAGGAAACCAACTTCAGCAAATCAACACAGTTTGGGACATGAACAACTTTCTGAGGGATCAAGTAAGGCAAATATCACTTTGCTTCATAAGCCATCACGACGGTATGGAGCACCACAGAGGTGCATGCGTGAGTATATCATTAACATTTCAACAATCTTCCAGTGCATTACAGAAGGAGCTTTGCCCTGCATAATCTCCACTGCTTACAGGCGTTCTCTGTATCCACAGATATAATGAGCTTATAAAAATGAAAGAATCGTTAATCTTTATGTATGCATTTCTCATCCACTGCAGCAATCAATAACAGTTTGCAAAGCCTTTGTAGGCATGTTGTTACAGCACTCATTACTGCTAAGACAGCTGTGTACAGCTTGCAGGAGCGGAAGGATACGGTCCTATAATGACATTTCCTCAGTGATGGGTAATAGATTGGAATCAAAATTGTTTGTGTACCTGACACCAAATGATACTGCAATGATTACTTACTAGTACAAACTACTAGCTATATGCAGCTTTCTGCATTTTTTTTTTTTCATGTGTAGATCTTTTTGTACAGAAGAAAAGTGGTTATCATACAGCTTCTGCTCATGCAGTGGAAATAGAGATCACGTTGCCTTTGGACCCAAATTTCAGGATTCCTCCCTCTGTTTGATTTCCATGCCCCCTTAGCTCTGTCATGGCATATAGGAATTAGGAGGTGAGCTCATGAAAGGGGATGGTTGGCCTATGGCTCAGAGATCTCTTCACCATGAGGGAAAATTGCCCAGGATGGATTCATCAATCTCACTGAGAATAGGAAGAACAACAGTCCCCAAATCTCAGGGATTCCATGTCTTAGTCGTATCACAAGCTTTAGCCATACTGTAACTTGTTTTTCATTGAGATTATTAAGGTTCCCAAACTGTAAGGAAAAACTTAAGTGCTGCTCAAGATATTCCCATTAGCTATAACCTTTCTCTAAAGCCAGCACTGAGCTGTATCACACATCATAAAAAAGTTCTACCATGGTAAGTTACAGAACTTTAAGTACTGAGTCTCATGCCAACTTTGAGCTGAATCAACTCCTCTTTCACTTGATTTTCAAGAAAGAATATCTTTTCTTTTTGTGAAAGAGCTTCATATTGGCAGCAACATTCCCTTGCTCTATTTGTATAACAAAAATTATCACTGTATCATACATACAGTGTTTCATCAGCAGGTTTAAAAACAAATAACTTCACTAGACTAATGCAGTGCATTTACACAAAATGGAATCCCCATCAACAGGGATTTTCACAAGCAAAGGCTCAAATTTGGGGAAAATGCCATAAGAGGAATACCTTCAATGAGGAAGAAAACCACACTGTAAATCTGTCCTCCAACACTTGAGTGAAGAACGCATGCAGGAAACAGCCAGTAGCCAGAGGAAAAGGAGGGTGAAGCTGCACCTTGCCTTCCCACTACCTCTTGTGTCCCGGCCGTGGGGAAGGAGCTGGATTGGGCACAGCTATCTGACCTAACTTCTGCTTAAGGAGCTACCAGCTGATGAAGGCAAGATAGATGAACCTTTGAGCAGCCTGGTCTAGCAAGAGATGTCCCAGCCTACAGCAGCAGGGTTGGAACTAGATGACCTTGAAGGTCACTTCCAACCCAAACCATTCTATGATTTCACTTTTTGATACCCTGATGCAATAGCACAGAAGTTCATTTGGACTTATTGTTTCAACTGGCTGTTTTAACACTTAATTCAATGCCACTTGAATGACAGGTAGACCAGCAATGCCCTAATTAGGGATGTGACAAAGCTTCTAGGCATGAGAATAATTTTCTAACACCTGGTGTACTGAAGAAGCATTTG